CGGCAAGAACACACAGCCAAGGGCAGATCACTGGCATGATCGTAAATCAGTTTACACCAAGCGTCAAGCCGTAGCCCAAGTAATTATTTAACAGATTATTTTAAAGATACCTCAGGTGTGTCTATATGAGTTCCAGTCACTACAGCGCAGGTGTATTGTCTGAGAAAAACATGAGCGAGCATGAGATTTGCAACAGAAAGATGTAGGACAGGACTCAATGAGATTGAGAAATGGGAAGTCCCAGGTAGGTGGCAGAGATCAAAGGCTTTGGCAGGAGTTCTGATTGCCGTGCACCGGGATGGGGCTGTGACGATAAGCCGAGTGCTCGGGGAGGGGGGGGAGAGAGCCGGGGAAAAACATTTCAGCTGCCTCCGACAACGGGCTGGCAGCCAAAAACATTGAACGATTGGATGTGTGCTTGGCACTGGCTCTCCCAGGAGAAAGAGTGGACAAAACAGAAAGAAGGGAAGAAGGAAGGAAAACATTAGCAAGGAAACCGAAAGCAAGAGACAGGTCGCTGTATCTTGGATCAGCTTTACTCTACAAAGTTTATCACTAGCAGGCATAGCCCATGCCAGCTATAGGTAGTCACACGTCTGGTCACAGTCACACAGCTTAAACGTTCCGCGTCCTAGAGCTTTAAGCCACAATTTTTATTTGATTGTAATTGCAGGCCCTTGGGCACTTCCTAACAGCATCTAGGAAATTTGCTAAATCCTCTTTTCCCTGGAGTATAAAAACAAACAGGCAAGAAAACAAAAAAAAAACCATTAACACAGGATATTCCCTGCCCCGTCATAAAAAGAGCCGCTTCCCTTTTTCTACAATGAGTGTCTAAAAAGCAAACGAACTGTTGCAAAACTCCTTGAAGAGCTGAGTAAATACTGAAACGTTCTGTTGGCTTAGGAATAAGTAATTTTCACAAATGAATTTCGGTTTGCCTTGGAAGTTAGCCAAAGTTTCCTCTCTGCTGGATCCGTGCCGGGAGGGCGCGGCGGGGCACCGGGCTGCAGCCGGGGAGGCAGC